ATTATTGAACTTCAAAACTATTGATAGGAAGGCTATATAAAGAATGAAATATTACAAAGGGCTACGTCCAAACTCTTAATACAAATAATTTCCCTCAACTTTCCGTACTAAATATTTGTAGATACAAATGAATAGAATAAAAAGTGCTTTGTTAATAATCAAAAATACATTATAATGTTTTGAGTACGATTCAAACTGTGCTTTTCTTTTACGGGAAACTATTTAAATTAGTCGGAATTCAACAGATTTTACTGATCAAAGTCTGGTAAATAAGGACTAACAGACACACTGCTACACACTCTGGCCCCATAGATTTGTCATCACACTGTCCCACAAGCAATACATAGAAGGAACAGTAACAGTGTAGGATTGTGACACCACGTTTGGATGAAAAACTGAGGGAGAAGTAGATGAAAGAAAGGCTCCAGAGTCCATGGTACATCAGTCTGATGAATTCCTTCTGCTGGCCACGTCTGCTCACCTTCTGTTGCTTCTACTGCTGCACCATGTGTGTGTGCAAGTGTGTGTGTGTGTGTGTGTGTGTGTGTCTATCCATGTATGCAACCGTGTGACATTTATACATCTGTGAAAGTGAGTGATGAGTCGTGATTTTGTGTCATTTATCAGCCATTCCTTCAAGTGTGAAATCAATGGCGCGTGACCATAAACTGCACATCAAATGAGGCAAATATGCAGAAAGACTTTTCACAAACGTGCACACTAGCATGCACAGAGACCTTGGTGTCGACGCACACTCGGTGACGCACTGATACAGAGACTCCCACTCGCATACCATTTGTTTTGCTTTCTTGTAGGCAGCATTAGGGTCTTCGCTAGAGTTTGGTTTGATATTTTCCCATGAAGATTTTTCATGGGCACACACACACACACACACACACACACACACACACACACACACTCTATTTCAATGTTATTAAAGCATGTTTTATTAGGGCCTTCCAAAACGAAGCTAATCCAGACTCCTTGTGCTATTAATCCAGAATAAATGAATAAAAAATGAGGACTCCAGAAGGTGCTAAAAGCTTAAAAACATAAATTTCTAGCAGGCACAGTTCAAATTAGGTAAGAAGAGAGGATGTGAGCTTTACCTAAATAACCGATAGAACTACACGTGTCTTATATCTGCATATCTGGGTCTGCCATGCAGGATTTTTCCATGAGAAGGAGCAACTACTGCCAAATATTAGAAAGATAAGTCAAACATTATGCTCAAACAACTGCTGATAATTGTTTTTGAATGCCGTTCGCAGGGACAAGTCGGCCGAACATGCTGCCTAAATATGCAACATGCTGGATTTTTGTGGTGGAATAACATGAAAGAATGTTTGGGGAAGAGAGAGGAGAAAAGGGCCAAACCAGGTCTGTACACACCCCAACCCCTGAGACACACAACCCACAACTATCTACCATCCAATCCTTTTGAGCGATTTACGCTGGCTTCTATAACCGTGGGGAGGAGGAACAAACTGTGTGTAATGGTATGTGGTCTGTTTGTGCGTATTATGTGCTGTCAAAATGTACTCGTATTTGTGTTGGGACAGACAGTGTGTTTGTCTGACAGTCTATGTGTTCAATGCAGTCAATAAGGGAAAAGTCCACAATGTTTTCATGGTGGAAAGAATCTCCCAGGCAAGCTAACAGTCTCTAGGTTTACAGTAGTTTCTATGGCTGATTATATAGCACTTTATGTCATTAACCTTTTGGCTTTGATCTGCTGCAAGGTCTCGTCTCTATTTCCTGGCTCCCAATAGCAATAAAAGTGAAATGAACTCCCTACAAAGACTGCTGTAGCATTATGTTAGCTTTGGCTGATTTGTGGAGAGTGTATACTCAACCCAGTCTCACAGCATTTTGTGTTATAGTCACGAAATTAATTTAATCTATTGATTTGTGTTCAACAACACAATTTTAAAAGCAATGTATTTCTATTGGTAGTATGTTTTCGTGCCTGCACCACGTCTTTTTGTCCAGTCGGGTCTTTGAAGACCGGAAGCTGTGTGGTTCATCAAAACATGTTCTTACTCAATAGCTTACCCTAAGCCTAACCCTTTTATTTTAAATAGTATAATGTCTGAGTTTTTTAGCCGTCCGCGAGGAAAATAAATGGGGCAAAGAGCCTCAAAATAGTGAAATCTGTATTTTTTAAAATCTTTTTTCCATCTAATTTGTTATTATTTACATTGCTTTTAAAATCGTTCTGTGTGACACGAAAGAAATTGGGAAATTATGTTGGTGAACACGAATCAATAGATTAATTTCGTGACTATAACACGAAATGCCTTGAGACTGTGTTGGTATACTACATGTGCTGTGCTAAAGTCTAGAGAGAGTTAGGGTTAGGATAAAAATGCTACAATTCTTTTAACCAATCTTTTGACATTTTAGGGAAATATGCTATTTTTCTTTCTTGCAAATAATTAAATGAGGAGATTGATACCTCTATCATGTTTTTGTATGCTAATAGGTCTACAGCTAGGATACGTTAGTTTAGCTTAGCCTAAAGACTGGGAGTGGAGGGAAACACATAGTTTAGCTCTATCTAAAGCCCAGCCTCTCTTAATCCCTAGGAAGAGTTAAGTAAACTTAAAATATATAGTGGTAATTATTGGTTATAATTCGGACAAAGCCAGGCTGGCTGTTGCCCCACTATTTTGAGTTGTGATTGGTAAAAGAAGCAGAAGGGTTAGCTTAGCTCAGTATAGAAAGTTACTGCACCCATCCAAGAAATGGTGACATAACTAATTAAAACCACAAACTCATGTCTTCAGTACAGATTAATCAGGGTTCAAATGTTTGAAATGCAAAAACACGTTACCTTTACGGTAAGCTATAGGCTAAATGACTCCTCTGTGTAGCAGAACATACATTTGTGGTATCCATTATCTGAGGTATTATCTCGTCCGGAAGGCAAATAAGCACATTTCTAAACGTGTTTAATTATTAATTTAATGCAAATTGACCCAATGAATCTGTAAGCATTAGCACCAGTGGCGGCGCTAGGGGGTGGCTACTTGGGCTCAAGCCCCGGATGTTTTCTGAAAAGCCCCGGATGTTTCACTTTGAAACGTCTCGGGAGTAATGTGCAGTACCGGAGTCCACCAGAGAGGCAGCCGCTGCGGGACAGTAGCCTGCGTACTGCGTAACCTTCCCTGCCCTGAAGAAGAAGTGATCCTTCCTAGTGCCCATCGCCATATTGTTCTGCTAGTGCCTGACGAGTTTTAAGCTAATAGTCTATAAAGTTATGGATATTAGAAAGTTATTTTCATTGAAAAAAAGGCGCCACAAGCAGTATCAGCAGCTGACAACAATGTCATCACCAGTAGTGAAGAAATGGATGATGTTTCAGGTTTGTGAATCTAATGGTGATATCTGCACTCTGACTGACTGAGTAAGAAGTGAAAAAGAGTGATGTAACGTTAATGTTATAGCTAGTAAACATGGAGTAACCACACTAATTATACCCGTATATGTTAGTATGTATACAGAACATGACTAAAAATTATCCTAAGATGTAACGATAACCCTTCATACCTCAGTCTACCTTTAAGACACTAAAATAACGTATTCCAATTTTTATATTGTTTTGGAATTATACCGGCTCTCGTTTCAGTACACTTAACAACGGGACCATAGCAACGGAACTGACAGGCAACGGAACTGACAGGCAACCCTCTGAATCAGACTCCGATTGGCTGTGACTGCATCCACTCTCAAGCTGTGTCCCAATTCAGAGGCTGGGTCCTCCTGAGGACCCAGCCTCCTGAGGACCCAGCCTCGCAGT